TTATTTGTCTTATGTTCCAGATATATTATTCTTTGATTTTTTTTTAAAGGCTAAATCTTCAATGAAAAGATTTAGATAAAATAGGAGTCTTGGTAGTTTTAGACCAAAAGCTAACTTACAAGCAATATTATCAAATTTCCAGTAACATATATTATTTTTTCTGCCTTTCCAGAAATATATCAGGTAGAAAGATGAAAGATTACTACATGACATATCCTAGAAGTGCTAAAGTTTTTTGTTTATAACTTAAATAAGTCACTAATAATAAATACAAGAATACACCTTTTCAAAGAAACCTAAGGATTATAGATCCAAATGTAAAGTTAACTATTATAACTCCCACCTAGATGTTTATGTACCACAAAGGGAAAACAGCAACCACAGTACAGAACTACTGAAAAACTGTAGCTGACAGACTACAATTCCATTTTCCTACATACAAGTTTATGCTATTCAACTATGCTTTTCCTCTTCACCAAAGTCCAAATCAGCTGATCACAAGAGGCACATATTAGTATTTCATTAACTCCACAGCAGATCAAGTTACACCCATAATTCCCCAAGCTCTCTGACCTCCAGGGGTAAGTACCTTTTTAACTGATAAGGAAGAATCTTCCTAAGAAAACATATGTAGGAGGTTAAATGCTCTGAAAAAGTTTTCAATTTCACAGTTGTCTCCTGGAAAAGAAAAATAATTTCACAGTTTAAAAGTGCTATTGAGCAAAGAGGAATTGCCACTTTCCAGAAGTATTAATAAAACAAGGAAGAAAATTACCAGGACAGTCACAGTATCCTCAGTGATACTTTCAAATAAATGAAGCATTCCTTCCTCAAGAGGGCGGACATAGGACGCATTTTCATGAAGGTACTGTGAGAACTAAACAGGAGGGAAGGAACTGTGAATTAAATCACTGGAAAACAACAAACAACACATTTCTAAATGAACCCACTGACTTAAAAACCTAAATTCTTTTGGAAACTTTTCCTGGAAATTTGGCTTTTACCCAGATGCTCCCCTCTAATAGTCCCAGATAATATCCCCAGGTCCCCATACCATTCCAAATTGAGGAACCAGAAGAGGGTGACACAATTAACAAACAGGATCAGAGGAAATGGGGAGGGACACAGCGTTACAACCCAGCACCAACA